GTGGAAAGACTCGACGTATTCTCGAGAGCTCCTGCTCGAGGCTCGAAATTCTTTCGAGTCACGAAACTCGCGGTGGAGGCGAGACGCTTTTGCCTCGCCTCACGCTCAGCCGTCGATCCCATTGTTCGTCGTGTTCGCGTTAAATTTTACGATCGACAGGAAGTTTCTCGATCCTCCTGTGAACCCGATCGGGGCGAAGGTTCCTCGTGAATCTCGTTCGCCACGTGGAAAGGTTCGCGGATTCGTTCCGTGAAATGCGGCGAAGCTTCGACGCCCACGGAACCGCCGCCGTCGAAACGCCGGACCTAAATAAAATGTAGGCCGCGCAGCGGAGTCCGAACGTTTATACCGGTTTCTGTGATCCACGCCAGGTGTGAATGCACCGCGATAAGTTTGTTAACGTGGTGAACGTCCACGCGGACGAGCGCGATGACCGAGGATCCGCGTTGCTTTTTGGCGAGGTGCGACAGATAAGTAGGTTTCACAGATGTGGAGTGTAGTTTCGATGTGTAGTGAACGACGAAAGTATTAGGGAGATGAGATACGTTTGAAGATTCAGAGTATATAAAGGAAATTGTGGAAACATGATGTTAGACTAAAGACAATTCGAACTACTTTTTAACGGGAGCCGATAAATACGAAATTAATGTTTAATCAGTCACAACTTCTAATAGCGATACAATTCATTATGCATTTCACAGCAAAACTATTGTAAACATAAATTTCTAAACAATGTAAAAAGAGTGCATCGAAATAATGTGAATGTGTTTTATTGTAAAAACCTTAAAGATCGATAAAAATTTATAGAAAGATGAACGAATGATTTTCTACATTCGTACGTAGGAATTGCTATTATATTTGCATTTTGCTGGACACTGATCGTCATTATTTTTTTGACAGAGCTCAGCGGAAAGTGGAGCATCGTCGCCATTGGCCTGTGGACCACCGGAATACATGATCGGCACCTACCGATCCGGCGATTACGAATATGTCGGTGTGCCGCTGGAACATTCGCAGACAGAAGAGGAAGCCAGCGGTCCCAGCACCGCGGAAATAATAGCTAATCAGAGTCAAGATTATGTGGACGAGAAACTCGCCGAATATCAGGCCACGATACAGCAACTTCAAAGTGAGTAGTTAAAATGAAATTAGTTTTCATTGGCAGCGAACGGTGGGTGGCACACTTTATTTCGGTGCGGTACGAAACGGACATTGACAATGATACACATTCGGCGAACCAAAAACCGATGTTACCGATGCGGTTACACGATACCGTTGGCAGCCGCGATGTCAATGGAACATCGGTCTGCCAATTCAGAAATCACGCCGATTGATACCGCCCACGTCTCAGGAACGCGTTTCATTCGGAAATTCAATTTTCAGGGTAATTTAAATCGACTTTCGCACGCGAGTTGCAGTCACGTATATTTACAATCTAACGTTGAATTTTCTTATATTCGAAACCGACGTGTAAACCGTGTGCTTTTACACGCAAACGCAATAATTAGCAGGAAACTGTTAATTTATGCGATCGACTCGATTATTTGTTATTCCATCTACACCGTCCTCCAGAAACGGAAACATTTATTGCACAACTTTTATATTCGTAAGTCTGTGCAGCAACATCTGGAGAGATTCTCCGAAACGATAATGAGTTTCATTTGTAAACTTTCGAATATTCCTCCAGATGTATCGACATTTTTTTTCCGGCTTTAACCCTCATCCATCCTTCATTTTCCCAACTTAATTTGTCCCTCGGTGATAAATTGACACAGTACACAACCAAAAAATATCAATATCAGGAAGAGTTTAATAATTAAATTTGCAAATTCTTTAAAATAAAAGTCACAGAACCTCAAATAAATTATCTACACACAACAGAATACATCATTTCTTGAGACGAGGGTTAAACAATCGCCACTTCAAAGGAATGAGGATATTCTGCCAACAGTTTCAGACAGTGTAGCTAATTTATGTGCACGACGATTGCACTAGAATGCTTCTAGGAAATACTTACGTAATTGACATTTAATTAGTCCATAGATCAAAAAGTATATTGACTAGAGAAAGAACACGTGATAAATAATAGAAACTCGTTTCAGAGTATTCAAAATTATTGAAAATGTGGGTAAAAAGATTCCCTTATCAGAGTACTGACTTTGACGAGCATTGTGTCCAACAATTAGCAAGATTGTTTACGTTATCGTACACCAGTGTCGCAAACGAGGCAACTGACCTACCGCGAACGTTGACTAACAAACAATTCGCTTGCAGATTAAGCTCAAACCCGATTCGTGAAATTCCGCGTGCGTCGATCGCGGATCAATGAATATCGATAGCGTGCACGAGTGTGTGCGATTCGCATACTTATTCGCTGAACCGTGCAAGAGAAATAGAAGAGGACTGCTCACCTATTTATAAATAGATGTGACTAGCACCTGCACATTCGCGATTGCCGCCATTGACTTTTTCTCTCCTTGGTCGCACGAAAGTCGGCTGTCTCCCATCCTGAGGGCCGATCGATTAACAAATGAGTCGATTTCATGGTACACTGGATGATGAGGAAATCGTATAGGTCCAATCTGAATTCAGCAATTTTTACACCTTTGGCAATTTTGTTAATGAAACCGAACGAACCGATAAAGATCGATCAATAGTACGATAGATGAGATCATCCATACAATAGATAAGGCCACATTGCGAAATTTGTTATTGTTTACAGTACATACAGTACAGATGAGCCGATCAATTAAATCCAAGGACGTTGTATAACATTGTTGAAGTCCTTAACTAGAATTAAAATTGTTTGTACTGTTGCTTTTAACTCGAATGAACTTGAGATCGTGAACTACTTTTGAAACAATTAAGTAGATCGAATCAGATTGTTTTTCGTTGAATATTTGGAGAAATGTTTACTTTTTGATTTCATTTTATTGTAGAGACGTTTGCGGCAATTTTTCTTTAAACTACCTGTACATAGGAGAAATTTAATTATCGAGTAGCATTGCTATAGCTCAGTTGCTATCAAACATGTACTTATTTTTCACTGATAAGATTAGCCAAGTCCGATATGCATTCCATGAAGAGATTATTGCAGATTTAGAGTAATCTCTGAGCTTTAGAAAATGTATAATTTTTTCACGTGACTTATATTGAAAATTGAATTTTTTTGTTAATTGAAACAACGATATAAAGTTCAGTGCGATATGAAAATGTTTGAACACGAATTCGCGTTCGTGCATGCTTTATCGTTGATCGTTTAAACAAATACTGATGGAATTTAACGTGACTGGAGCTTGAAATTAAAACGGAACCTTGTTAATCTTGGCTGTGCTAAAGAGATAATTGACTCGCGATCGTGGAACTGTCCGTCCAACACAGTACGATTCTACTGTATTATTTACTACTTCACTATTATCACGATGAATTTGCATTACGCAACGGATGACATATCGATATGCGTCAACGTTTCGTAGAATGGTGTGTTACTGATAAAATTCGCATTCGTCCTCATAACGTCCCACAAATTATATCAACGTCAACTATTTTTATCTTGTAAACACGACCAGTCTAGTGAATTGCTCGGAATCAATTCTATCTTTTAACTTTATTCTAAATTGAATTAAAAATTGTCCACTTGTATTATCGTTACAGTATATTCTATGCAATAATATTGAGTTAATAGAAGAATGTTATCTTCACAACAAGTTGTCCTAGATCGCCATATTCAGACGTGTTACACTAGGTTATGGACGTGTATCTTCAAATATTTGCGCAGCCATGTTTCACGTTCTTCTCTCTCACTCGAAGATTTTATCTGTAGATTACTAACATCCTTGAGACAATTAAGTTCTGCGTGAGAGTCCCCTTCGTTTTTTCCCTGAGAAAATTTGTTCCGTCCTCTTGGGATCTTATTCCGAACAATTGATCTTTTCTCATCGAGCTGAAAATGAAAAGGCTGGAACAATTTAACTCCGTCATTGAATTATATGTAATTACGGGGCAATTTGTTGTCAATGTACGTTGAAGTCTGACAATTAAGTTAATGAATCCGATCAATAATCTTCAGAGGATGCATAAAGATGTCAAATAAAATGACTGAAAAAAAGATGAAGTGGGGATGGACTTGGAATCGACCTTGAAGTAAAAGTTTATATTTTTCATAATAAATTGAACATACTTCAAGAACTGTAAATTGTATGGAGTCATTTTAAATCTGAGAGTACTCAAACGTTAAGGAGTGGCTTCCTGCTCCACTAACCTTGGATATTCAACTGACCTTATCCGAGCTGCAGCAACCGTACACAAACACTCGAAAGTTTCTGCATTCACTACAAAATTACAGTTCGCCAAGCCAGGTCACTGCAGCCCTGAAAATATACCAAGAATCTTCGGCGCTATTCAGCATTACCACAAAACTCCTCGAATCCTGAAGAACATAGGAATCACGTTATCCTTTGCGGGCTACCAGAATCCAACACATCAGAACCTCCTCGGTCCAACTTTCTCGAAATCATCAACCAGCACCAGCATCACTCTCAAACCTTCTCAAATCGAGGAAGCATCCACTCATCAGAAACCTAGTGGCTCACCAACGAAGCTCTGCGCTCAGATGAACCATCAATTCAAACAGTTCACAGCCGAAGTGACATTCAACCAACCTAAGGAGGACACAAGGACAACTTCATCGATCCAAGACGCCAGACTATTCCTACCCCCAACCCTTCCAAACTCTTAACACCGAACCACTCCCAAATCTACCCAATCCAAACCATCCTCCGGTCTCGAACCACCAACTCCACTAGCCAGAGAAGGACATACGCATTCAAACGTTTCGCGGGCAAAGTGACATTCAACCAGCCTAAAGAGAAGGACGCAGGATAACTTCATCGATCCACCGGCGTGTGGTTCCCATCAGGAAGGTTGGATCGGGCGTGGAAGCGTATCAGCTGAAGGGAGACAGAGCGAGGGCCAGCCTGGCTAGACGACGACGACGCGTCGTCGCGACGCCCTCGGTCTACCGGCCGGACTGGACGAGAGAGCCGGCTCCGTCGTCACCAACTTCGTCATCGTGTTCTCGTCCTCGTCATCGTGCAATGCGGATCGCCAGCAAGCAGAGAACGTACAGACTAAATGGGAAGGGGTACAGGAGGGCACGGAGGGTACCGCATGGCGAGACGAGGTGGGGACCGGCGAGAGGTCGGGAAGGGAGGCACCGATATCGAACCGGCGGCGTCGACGACGGCGGTGGCCGTGGTGCGCGGCGGCCAGAGTGCATTCCGTGAGCGGTAGAGACCCGTGTGTATCGCCACATACTCGCTAGAACGGCCGATATGCGTACGTCGTTGGTTCACTTGGTCGCTTGGACACTGGTCGACCGTTAACACAGTGTGTGAAGCAGCGTGAAAAAAAAAAAGGAAGAAAAAAAAAAAACGAAACACTGTGACAATATACTCAAGCATTTTTCCTTGTTTCAAGTTTTTCTGATTCGTTGTTTGAAAATCGACCGCAGAACCGGCGAGAAACGAACTCGCAGAGACCAGAGGAGAGCAAGGCTGATGTGCGTGGCGGTGGTGACGGTGCGCGTAGTAGGGTGTGGTGTGCGGGGAACAGGTGTCCACGAGCGTAGCTCGACCGTGAAACGACCGGGGGCCGGATACAGTAGGTACACCGGCATGTTTTTAGGCGTGAGGAACAACGGTGGATAGAAAGACAGTGGAACAGGGGCCCGTGAGAACGGTGCGCTGATATACATTGAGAGTGTTATGTCGACGCCGCCGAAGGCAGGGAGTCCAGCCGGCGGTAGCCGGGCAAGCCCTGCCAGTCCAGGTACACCACGTGGCGGTCGACTGCGTGACAGGGTCAGCTTCTTCGAGCAGGTATGGTCCGGTGGACGCGCAGGCAGCTCCGAGGAGCTGTTCCAGGAGATCGATGCCAGACGACACGGTCAGTTCAGGTCCCCGACCAATCCTAGACCCTCTTCCAGAGCTAGCGACTCGTCGTTCGAGGAGAGCTTCGAGAGATTGGTGGAGGAGGGCGAGTTGAACGGGGCGAAAGTGGTGAAGTTCGAGAAGATCACTGTGAGAAAAAGTGTCCGAGAGTTTGGTAGCACCGGTGTGTCCCATCACCATCATCATCATCGAATTCCTACGGAGCCCAGTAGGACACCTAGTGAGGAACACGCCCTTGAGGACTCGGCCTATCAGAGCCATAGCCATGGTGCGCCGAGTCACGGGAGTAAATCGAGTTCGGTAACGTCGTTCACCAGGTTCCCATCGGAAGAAGGCAACAGCCCTCAGCAGCATCTAGGACCGGACGATCGAACGCCCTCCGAGTGGTACGCCGAGTATAGGACTCAGAGCTTCCAGAACTCGGCTAAGATCGAATATGTTCGCAGTAAGAGCGAATACGATGCGCACATCGCTGAGATTAAAGGTATTGGTTGGGTTTTTTTTTTGGACATTTTTCTACGTCTGGGAGTTGGTTGTGGGGGTGGGAAAATGTATTGGGGGTGGGGGGCGCGACTCGGGGTATGCTTGAATTCTAGAGGTCGTGGTAGAGACAGATTTTGGGTTCAATACACTCATTTCCGAGGTCCAAGGTTTCTATTGGTTGTGTAGTTGTTCTTCTTGTAGGTATTGGATTAGAAAAATAGAAGGAAATTATACTTGAATCTAGACGGATGGATGCATTTGAACTAAATGGTTTACTATAATCGAAAAATAATTCAATACTCATCTTGAAAGATTTCGATAAACAATTTACATTACTTTGAATAGTACCGATGACATAAGGATAGGGTAAACTGAGGTGAATGAAATGTTTATAAACCGCGTAGTGACTAATTCATACTGATAAAACTGAAGCGCCTGCTATTATCACCGTTACGTAACTATGATTTTTTTGTTTTGTCAAGTATAGACACTCATCGCGATTAATACGTCGTTAATTGCATTTTTGCATTGTTTCTGCGTTTGCATGAGAAGCCAGCTGGGAATCCCTTCACCTTGAATGGAAAATTTGTTGATCCTCTCTAATACCTGAATCTTCATTATATAATATATACAAGTTAAATAAAATCGACAATTTCGTAGACTTCATTTTCGTAAAATTTTCTAATAACAACTTAAATCGAGACATTTACATAAAGTGGAGTTAGTCCTTTCCTCATTCGTCATTTGCATGTAATTTTCAATCACAAAGGGGCCCAGTAGCAATGAATCTTCCACGCTCCATCGGGCCCCGGATGGTCCCCACGATACAAAACACGACGCATAACGACCTTAAAATTTAATTAAAATAAAATTACTCGGTGACCCACATTTGCCACGCCACGACGCACACGGAGGCAATTCATTACTCATCCGTCTGAAAGGACGAATCCGATGTATCAGTCCCGCTTGCTCTTTTCAACGTTGACAAATGAAGGGGGAGGGGGCCCCGCGAAACGCCATTAAAATCAACAATCACGGTACCAACATTCTCCGTACTGATTTTCGATTCCAGAAACCGCCTGCAAAGTCATCGTTCCTTTCGATACGCGAAGATTTGTCTTGGCTCGCGTTGTATAACAGTGCATACAGTCGATTACAAAAACAATGTATCTTCCTCGTTTATTTCTTATTCCTGTCGTATTAACATCTGAGACCTACTCGAAACAGAACACCCACTGAATTAAATATATTATCATGTTTTATGACGACGATTTTTGGAGTTTAACCAAAACTAATTCAGAGCGAAAAGGACGCGTCAGGACAACGTTACACCGGATTTAATTGGGTTAAATATTCCCGGTTACCAACGACCACGTTCTCCGTTCACTGCCATCGTGCGTTTCTCACAATTTCGTGTCGCATTAAGAATTCATTCCACCCAACCAGACGAAACACCATGGTCGTAGAACCCTGCTTTTTTCACGATCGATATTGTTATTCCCCTCTGTTAAGTACGTATATTAGCAATTCTCCCGTGGGGACCGTGCTTTTCTTCGTTTGTGAGTATCGTGCCGCTCGCAAGTATATCACAACGACGTCGGGTTTCTTTTTTTATTGCACGATCGAGGATTATTCTGTCGAGATTAGATAAGAAAGGGGTGACGTAAGTTTGCTGATTCTGCTCGTAGCATAAACACAGAGAGAAAAAAACCGACGGAGGATATATTCAAAAAGTTTCGAAGAATGGACCGAATTTATAGTCGAATTCCAGGAAAAACGGATTAATGTGAACGATACGAACGATTCTGTGGAACCACGTGTTCTGTCGCGGTGTTTGATTGATTACGTTAATTCGCGGTCCCCGCTCGATAATCCCGTTGCCCACGCTCGACCGTGTTTCACGTGGGACAAACCGGAAAGATCGGTTGGGAATGCAGCTATATGTGGGCCACGGTCGGTGTCATGCGCGAAATAATTACGTTTCGGATGGAATTATTTCCGTTAAATTGAAATTGAATGGTTGTCTGGACAGAGAACGTCGACGATATGGTTGCTCGGAGTAATTGGGGTGTCGGGTTTCTGGACAATTTAGGGGAATGACTTCAGTATCAAGGATGACGAAGCTATTTAATACACACGGACCGTTTAATTAAATATGGACGTAGGTCGAGGGGCAAACTTTGCGCAGGATGTAGCAAAATTTTATGTATTATTCTTTTATCCGATTCATTTCAGTCAAAATACTTGAAATTTATTAATATGATATTAGAATGATATAAAAATTAATATAGAAATGTTGCATATTGATGTAGATATACAAAGATATAGAAATATAGAAATATAATAAGTCACTGTTATGAGGAGACAAATATCGTAGTGATCGATGTGAAAACCAGCTGTAGAACTGTTATTAACCGTAAAACAGAAAGAACGTCAAGAATACAGAAGTAGACGTACATTGGCGTCAAAACGGGAATTACACAGCAGGAAAGTTCATCCTCGTGTCGCTGTGTTCGTTCAGTTTTATTGGAAGAAAAGTTGGACGGAAGAGTATTAACCGCGAATGCCCGTAGGGTCGTTGCTTCATTCAAATTGGCATCATATGCGCTCTGAAGATCGTCTTACGAATTCAGCATGGTCATTACGTTCTTCGCGACACGACATGGTTATCGCTGACACCGTGACTGTTGCAATTGGAGCAATCAAATTGAAATTCAAATAGTAGCAATCTGGTTACAAGATTGAAACAAACGTCTACACTCTTGTACACACGACCAGAAACGAGTTCACAAATTCTATCCAAAGAAAAAAGTATCGATTACTATATACATTGCCTCTAAACATACGGAATTATTGCATCGACATTTTCTCTTTCACATTCACGCAAAATTAACCCTAAACTAAGAAAAAGGTATTACGCTGAATACAGCAACTTGTAATACCAAATGTCTTGCGACGACAAAAAATGAGGAAGATAGTCAGTGTGCAATCAATGTGCAATTTTTTCGTACAGTCGACAGACGTAACAGACAGCCACTGAAATTGAACGAAAGTTGTCAAACAAGTTCAAGCAACTTCTCCACGAAATAAAAGAAAGAAACGAAACGTGGCAATCAAAAAAGTTGCAAATTAAATCCTAGCACGGGACCGCGAGTTCAAAGTTGCACCTGGATTTCGTTCGAGCCGGCCGATACATTTTGGCACGCGTTCCCATACACCGCGAGTACCGAGCAGATGATCGCTCAATGACGATGAACCGGGGCAACGTACCGTCGATCTATTCCCTGCGAATAAATAAAACGAAGCCCTGGTTGGGTCTAGATAACGAGGCGCAGCGACGTACGAACGACTAGACTGCGCCCGGCGTCAATGGTCACCCGATACACCGACCGCAAGAGCGTCTTATAATTCATAATATCAAACCCAGTGACTCCTTGGTTCTCAGATTCTACGATTTCACACGTTGATAATCACCTGGGAAGGGGTGGGGGGAATTAATCCAGAGGAAACAAACGTAGGCGTGGATATAACGAGGAACACATATAGTGAAACTGCTAACTGTGATATTTGTAGAAATTTCTGATCCAATGATTTTTTCATTGTAGAATATATAATATATAAACTATTGAATTATAACATATTTTAAAAATGTCGTTTGTATAGGGTATTCTGGATGAGTGATACAACCGGAAAGGATGTGTTCTCCCTGCAAAAAGAAATAGTAAAAAAGAATAAAATTTTCTTGGGTGATGTTTTCGGGATAATCGAACTTGAAAATTTGCTGAAGACTGTCTGTTCATTGCAGGTCGTTTCTACTTACTGGCAACACGTGTACATGCGTATTAGATGAATTTTCAAATGCAACTTTCTCGCAAAAGCTCCAACAACAAAAATTTACTCTTTCTTTATACTTACTTTTTCTTATAGAATTACCTACTGCGCAGTTGTATTATCCGACCTGAGAGTTTTAATTAGAATCTGGGAACAGAGTGATATCTTCGGACGGACAGATCGAACAACGGCCACGTTAAGAAAGAGTGGAAGCAAGAGTGAGGTCAAGGTCACCGGTAGTCCCTGATTATTAAATCGTTCGCGTCATCGGTGGCCACCATGCGAACAACTTTGGATTTCATTAATTCGACGCGACCATCCAACGCAAGCAGTGCCACTACGGTGTTTTGTTGAAAATCATCAGGTGTCGTTCGGTCGACCGCGTTTTAAAAGGGACGCGTTACATCAGCGGTAGTCTCGCAGATAAACGATCTCTGGGAACGTGAGGCGAATTAATTTGAGCTCACTACAAAAAACTGTGACTATGAAAAATTTAGTCAGATACTAAATTCGTATTTCTGCAGCCAAGAATACTTAATAGTAGAATTTCAGATGACCGCCATTTTTCAATTAAATAGTATATTTCAACGATCATTTGACGTTGTAAGTCTGGAATTGGATAGACAGAACTGGATATATGGAGACGTGAATGAACGTAGTAATTTAAAAGTTATGAACAGTAATATTACGTTGAAATTAGGAAAGGCTATGGCGTTCACGATCGATCCCAAAAATTAATAAAATTCGATGGACTCGAGGGTCACGATAGCTACACTCCATTTACAAAAACTTGTTCATCGTCTGAACAGAAATTTCACGGAAATGTTCGTGTCGAGCGTATAGTTAGAGTGCCTGACACAATCGAACGTGGCCGGTGTGTCTTGTATAAAGCGTAATGTGGTAACACGTACTAATAGTAAACGATGACGTTATTCGGCGTCAGTTCAAGGCTATACTCCAACCGTGCTCGCCTTCTCTGGAACCTTTTCACTCAGTCCTTCCTCGTCTCACCGCCGTCAATTCCACGAGTTTTTTTTTCTTCTTCGTCGACCATTCGTTTCGACTTCGTGCGTCTCTTTCTTCCGTCACGAGTTCATCTTTCTTCTTTCAGACACTCCTTTCACTTTCCGTCTCTTTCCAGGCCGTATCCACTTGGTCCTCTCATGCTCG